TTAGGGGCCCAGTAACGCAGAGCAGGCACTCCTTCACCTGAATTCCAACTCCCGTGTCTGGAATAGCATCAACTCAACTCATGCCTACACGAGACAGGTGCATATGTGTGACGGGCTTACCCCTCACTGTAGTCACCACGTATTTCATGAGAGTTTCTTTGCGTTCAGGTTGCTGCTGTGGAGCAGAAGATGCGGAGGCACCCCTTGAACAGAGCGTTTCTGTAGGTGTGTCACAGGCCAGCACGCCCAAGGCAGCTCTGTCTTCCCGGAAGACCCACCCCTGTGAGATGTGCGGTCCGGTCTTGAGAGACGTTTTCCGCTTGGCTGAGCACCAGGGAAAACCAAGCAGCCAGAAACTGTTGAGGTGTGGGGCATGCGCACAACGATTTTACTTCATCGTAAACTTTCAGCAGCAGCCGGAGCAGCACACGGGAGAGAAACCATTCAGAAGTAGTGTGGACACAGTCTCTTTTATGAAGGGATATGGATTCCATGATTCAGGAAAGCCCTTTACCTGTACAGAGGTTCAGAAGGACTTCCTGCCTGGCGTGGTTCGTCTGCAGCAGGACGACATTCATACTGGAGAGAAGCCAAACACAATCAGCCAGTGCGGGGCAACTTTGCAGAGCAGTAAAGGTCATTACACTCGGGGAGAATGCAAGGAAGCTTTTGGTCCCAAATGTACACATGTTCAGGATCAGGGTGTCCAACCTGGAAGTCCATATTTTGTGTGCAGTGAATGTGGGAAAACATTCAGGCAAAAATCTTTATACACTATCCACCAGACATTCCATACTGCACAAGGACATCATGAGTTTGGCGAAGGTGAAAAATCCCTTAGACGAAGGTCAGCTCACAGTCTGTACGGAAAGACTCACACTGGGTCTAGGCAATACACGTGCAACAAATGTGGGAAATCCTTAAGCCACAAATCAGTACTTATTCATCCCCAGAGATGGCATAGTGGAGAAAGTAATCATGTTTGCAGTGGATGTGCAAAATCTTTTAGCCATCGCCAAATGTTGATTACACGTTCTGGTCAAACCTTAGAAAGGCCTTATAATTGTGGTGACTGTGCAAAACGTTTTACCTCTATCTCTGCTCTCAGTTATCATCAGAGATCTCACACAGGGGAAAGACCTTATGAATGCAGTGAATGTGGGAAGTCTTTTATCTCCAGTACTGGCTTCCGTTCTCACCAGAGTGTTCACACTGGAGAAAAGCCTTATGAGTGCAGTGAATGTGGTAAATCATTTTTCTCTAGGTCTGACCTCCATTATCATCACAGAGTTCACACTGGGGAGAGGCCTTATGAGTGCAGTGAATGTGGCAAGTCCTTTCACCGAAGAAATAACCTCAATGTACACATAAAGGTTCACTCAAGTGAGAGGCCATACGAATGTAATGAATGTGGAAAATCTTTGAAGTGTAAGTCTTCATTCATTCAACACCAAAGAATTCACACAGGAGAAAGGCCTTATGAGTGCAGTGAATGTGGGAAATCTTTTACCACTAGTTTTGTCCTTCGTTCTCACCAGAGAGTTCACACCGGAGAAAGGCCTTATGAGTGCAGTGAATGTGGGAAATCCTTTACTGCTAGCTCTGTCCTCCATAATCACCAGAGGGTTCACACAGGAGAAAGGCCTTATGAATGCAGTGAATGTGGGAAAACTTTTACCACTAGTTCTGTCCTCCGTTACCACCAGAGAGTTCATACTGGAGAAAAGCCTTATGAATGCAGGGAATGTGGCAAGTCCTTTCCCCGAAGAACTAACCTGAATGTACACATAAAGGTTCACTCAGGTGAAAGGCCTTATGAGTGTAATGAATGTGGGAAATCTTTTAAGTGTAAGTCCAAACTCATTGAACACCAGAGAATTCACACAGGAGAAAAGCCTTATTTGTGTAGTAAATGTGGGAAATCTTTTAGTCGTAGCCACGCCCTCCAGTATCATCGACAAAGTCACCTTGGAATAAGGCCTTATGAGTGTAATGAGTGTGGGAAATCTTTTGCTTGTAGTTCTTCCCTCAGATCTCACCAAAGAGTTCACACTGGAGCAAGACCTTATGAGTGCAATGAATGTGGGAAATCTTTTACAGCTAGTTCTGTCCTTCGTGCTCACCAGAGAGTTCATACTGGAGAAAGACCGTATGAGTGCAGTGAATGTGGAAAGTCCTTTCTCCGAAGAAATAGCCTCAATGTACACATAAAGGTTCATTCGGGTGAAAGGCCTTATAAGTGTAATGAATGTGGGAAATCTTTTAAGTGGAAGGCAACATTCATTCAACACCAGAGACTTCACACAGGAGAAAGGCCTTATGAGTGCACTGTATGTGGGAAATCTTTTATCAGTCATCCTGCTCTTAGTTACCACCAAAGAGTTCACACTGGAGAAAGGCCTTAGGAGTGCTGTGAATGTGGGCAGTCTTTCAGCCAAAGCTCCAGTCTCACTCAACAACAGAAAGTATAGTAGATGAAGCCCTTCTGAGTGATCAATTATGAATTGTTTATGTTCACTAGAAGTTGTATTTCTCTTCCTATCCTCTATTCAGGATTAGCAGATAATGTCTTTGGGAGGTAATTTGAATCAGAATGGGTCATGAGTGTGGATGGAGCCCTCATGAATGGGTTTGTTGTCTTCATACCAGTTCTAAGAGAGCTTGCTTCCTCTGTGTACCATGTGAGGACCCTTTTGAGAAGATCATCTATAAATCAGGAAGTTGCTCCTCACCAGACATGGAACCGGACCCTATAGGGAATGTTAGGTTGGCTATCCAGCCTCCAGAAAGAAGTTTCTGTTGTTTGCAAGTCACCTAGTTTGTGGTACTTTGTTAGAGCAGCCTGAGCTAAGACATGTGAAGAATGTGGGCAATCTTTTGGCGAAGGATACAGTTTCATAAAAATCAGAAATTACCCTGGGTAAGGCCTCATGAGTGAGGGGAATGACACAATTCCTTTTGCCAGTCCTCTGTCTTCATTGCACACTTTGAGTTCACACTGCCAAAGGGCATTAAGGTAGCAGAGCAGGTGGTATTTCCTTGAGTAGTGTAATCACAGTGGAGGAGTGCCTTTGTGAAGCAGCCACTTAGCTGGAACAAACCTTGTTCACTTGAATGTCTGCAGTGGAGTGACTTACCCTAAGTTCCAGCTATTTGGGAAAACTTGAGGAGCTGTGTTGTGCTTCTGATGTGTCCGGAGTCATTGCTAGATTGAAGTCACTGCCAGTTTCTGTAGCAGAAGTCATTTCACCAATGCCACCTGGCAGGTTCCCACAATATATATCAGTCACCACCCCAATATGCTATGGCAAGATGGTCTCTGTGGTTTGTCATTGGCGATAGGAATTATGGATTGTTGGAACTTCTCATTCCCTTCTCAGTTAGAATGTGGATGTGACACATTGTTTATCCACAGCACCTGATCTGAGTTCTTGGTGGTATCTTGCAGAGAAAGACTCATCTTAGGGACGTTACCATCTTTTGATGCCCAACTGGTCATGTGGGGCAAGGCCTCGTCCAGAAGGAAGAGGCAAGAGGTAGCGTTCTGTGCAGCAACATGGTGAAGTCTTTTCCTTTGCAGACCCTGGTGTGAGTGTGGTAACATCTCAGATATGATTTTGAGGAAGTGGCTGAGCCTTGTGGACAGCAGTGTGGGGCATGCCAGGGGACCACTGTGCCAGGTTGGAGGGCCGGGTTGACATGCAAGGAGTAGGTGAGACACCTGAAAGGGGTGGCACACCCAGCAATGCTATTTAGGTAGGACTCTATGGGCTGAGTCTCCCTTTTTCACCCTGGACATGGATTTCCCACTGTGGGTCCCTAAGACAGTGACCTGCCTATTGCTCTAGCCACTCTTTTCCCAGTAGTTCCCTGAGGGACACCACACAGTCTATGTGGCCGAGAGGTCCTTGACCCAACTCATATGTGCATGCTGTGCAATGGCATATACAAGTCTGTGGTGCCAGTGAGGGACTCAATCTCTATAGTGATTATATTTTTTGAAATAAATTGTTAAGGACAAATTAGTATCAGGCAACAAACCACATATTCAGAAAGCTTAGAGTACACTAAACAGGATAAATGCAAGAAGAAGAAAAAAAGACCCACATGTAGGTGTTTTATTTTCAACTTACTTGAAATCATAAAGTTTTTAAAGAAGCCTGAGGGAAGAAAATACCTTAGCTCCAGAAGAACAAAGACTTACATCCATTTTCTCAGAAATCATGCAAGCAAGACAGGAGAGGAATGAAATATTTAGTGTTGAGAGAAAAACTCATCAGGCTAGAGTTGTCTACCTGGCAAAATTATCCTTCGACAGTGCAGGGCAAACAGCATTTCTGAAAGAAAAACTAGGGAACGTTTTGCCAGCAAACCTGCCATCTTATTCCATTTTGGGTGATATGACAAAGTACTACAGACTGGGTAATTTATAGAAAGATAAACATTCATTTCTTACAGTTCCGGAGGCTGGCAAGTCCAAGGTCAAGGCGCCAGCATGGGTGAGTTCTCTGGTCAAGATCCTCCTCCTGGTTCCTAGTTGGCTTTTCTTGCTACATTCTTCCATGATTAAAGAAATTAGGGATTTGTTTTTTCAGTAGGCTGCAGGTCCAGGATGGAGCCAAATATGGGGCTTTAATTCATGATCCTGAGATCAAGAGTTGGATGCTTAACTAATTGAGCCATCCAGGCACGCCAGAAGTAAGGGATCTTTGTGGAGCTCCTTTTATAAAGGCAGTAAACCCATTCATGAGGGCTCTAACCTTATAACCTAAGCACCTCCCAAAAGTGTCATATTTAGGAGTTAGGATTTTTTCACATGAATTTGGGGAAGGGGGGTGACCATAGGATCTTGCTTGCAAGAATTGTGAAAAGAACTTTAGAGACAAGGAATGTGATATGGGTCAGAAACTTAGATCTACATAAAGAAAGAAAGAGTATTGTACGAAGAATAACAACGTAAAAAAAGTATTTTTCTGGGGCACCTGGGTGGATCAGTCAGTTAAGCGTCTGACTTGGGCTCAGGTCATGATCTCACAGTTTGTGAGTTTGAGCCCCACGTTGGGCTGTGTGCTGACAGCTCAGAACCTGGAGTCTGCTTTGGATTCTGTGTCTCCCTCTCTCTCTGTACCTCCCCTGCTAGGTCTCTGTCTCTCTGTCAAAATAAATATTAAAAAAATTTTTTAATATATTTTTCTTTTTTAATATTATTATTTAACAATTTTTAAGTATGCTCCACACCCGACAAGGGCTTAAACTCATGGCCCTAAAATTAAGAGTTGCATGCTCTGCCAACTGAGCCAAACAGTTGTTACATGAACAATATATTCTGTTATTTATGATTATCTTAATGTGTGTGTGCATATTAGGCTTTGATATTCATAGAATGAATGATGTCAATGATAAAAGGGACTGGAATGAGGAATTGAGATTATTTTGTTATGATAAGGTATAGTATCCTTGAGGTGGTGTAGTATTTGAAAGTAGATTTGGAAGGGCTCCTGGTTGGTTCAGTCAGTTAAGCGTCTGATTTAGGCTTAGATCACAATCTCACGTTTCATGGGATTGAGTCCCATAGTTAGTGCAGAGCCTGCTTTACATCCTCTGTCTCTCTCTGGCCCTCCTCTCCTTGAGCATGTGTGCACACTGTCTCTCTCTCTCTCTCTCTCTCTCTCTCTCTCTCTCTCTCTCTCAAAAATAAAATCAGCATGAAAAAGAAGTAGATTTGGATTAGTTGTCAATGTTTATTGCAAATTCGAGGGCAACAAAAAGTATAACTGATATGCTAAGGAACAAAAGAAGATGGAGTACCATAAAATACTCAGTTAAAACCATAAAAAGCAGGAAAAGAGTGGAAGACAAATTGGGACAAAGAACAAGGGTGATGAATAGAAATCAGTAACAAATATGGTATATGTTAATCTAACTATATCAATAATCACTTTGAATGGTAGAAAACTAATTAAAAGATTTTCACAATGGGCCCCAAAGCAAGATCCTACTATATATTGTCTACAGAAACTGTGCGATGATACGTATGCAGTGTTTTAACCTCTGAGTTTGTAGTAATCTATTACAGGAACAGTAGAAAATGGATAGAGGAACAGACATGCAGAGAAATGAATGATTGAGAAAGACATAAAGCAAGTTAGTGAGGGCTCACTTTATGAAGCTTCTCCCTCTGTGTGACATGGTAGGATCAGTGTTGGTAAGTAAACTGCTTTATTTACTGTGGCTTCATTGCTTAACAGTATCCATTAACTGTCATCAGGCAAAGGTATAACTTTATGTTGATGTTTTATCATAAAATTATGCAGGTATAACTGGGTCAGAAATGACCTTAGGATTATAGAGTGCAAAAGTCAGTTGGTGACCTGTTTAGCTAGTTAGAAAGCATTTAAGTCATTGTGCTTTAACAAAACACCCTTTATCTGATTGTGAAGTTCTGAGAATGGGGAGGTATTGGAAGGATACAGCCTCATCACAGAATATTGTATGAAATTAACCTGATAAACACACAATGTGTAGAATTTTATAAATATGAAACCATACTCCAGGAACATAAGAGTTTGAAATTAAGCAAGCCTTCATAACTCATTATTGACATAGAAACACACAAATATCAATGGAACAGAATAGGGAGCCCAGAAATAAACCCATGCATTTATGGGTTTGTCTGTTTATAAAGACAAAGCCAAGAATATATAATTCAGAAAGGATAGTCACCAATAAATTATGTTGGCAAAACTGGGCAATCACATGCAAAAGAATGAATCTGGACACCAGTCTTATACCACAAATGAAAATAAGTTCTAAATGGATGAAAGATTTGAATGTAAGACCTGAAACAATAAATCTAGAAAAAACATAGGGGTAATCTTGAAATTGGTCTTGGTAATGTTTTGGGTTTTTTTTTTTTTTTAATTTGATACCAAATATATGGTGGTGGCGAAACAGGTACAAACATTTGTCAAAACTCAATGAAGTGTATATTTTATTACTGTTTTCAGTTTATTATTTTGAGAGAAAGGGAGAGAGAGAGAATCCTAAGCAGGTGATGTGCTGTCAGTGTAGAACCTGAGATAGGGCTTGAACTCATGAACAGTGAGATCATGACCTGAGCTGAAATCAAGAGTCAGGCACTTAACCGTCTGAGCCACCCAGGCACCCCAATTGTATATTTTAAATGGGTACACTTTTAACAGTTTAAATTGTGCTTCAATGAAGTGTGAAAAGACTAGCTTGTTTAAATGGTCACTAGGATCAACAGCCTAGCCATCTTGTACAAAATGGGACACAGAGGTATACCTTTCTCTGGGAGAATGGGGAAAGGATCTTCCCCAACGTAATAAAAATTATGTCAGACCTGAGGCCAGAATGCAGGTCGCCTGACACACAAGCAGGGTTTCTTTTACACCCCTGTCTTCCACATAAAGGCTCTGAGGCGCCTGGGTGGCTCAGTTGGTTAAGCATCTGACTTCGGCTCAGGTCATGAGCTCACATTTTGAGTTTGAGCCCTGCTTTGGGCTCTGTGCTGACAGCTCAGAGCCTGGAACCTGCTTCAGATTCTGTGTCTCCTCTCTCCCCCTCTCTCTCTCTCTCTGAAAAAATAAATAAACATTAACAAATTTTTTTTTAAGAAGGCTCCATCCGACTTCCTTGAATGAACATGGGCACATCCTCAAAAGACAGGTTCTGGGTCAGAGACCACAGGGCAGCTCTTCACATTCACCTCCAGGTGACCATGATATCTGAACTGCTGGTTGAGTTGTCCAGTAGTTTTTGTCTTGAGGATAAGCTCCACCTGCCAGGGTGGGGAGGAAAGGACAGTCATCCCCTATGATTCTTTTACCTGGCCCCAGGGCTGGTCTCCAATCACTCAGAAAGAGAGAGAGAGAGAAAGAGAGAGAGAGAGAATCTTGAATATATTCAAAGATGTTGAGGTCTAAGGGGGCACTGAAAAGAGGAGAGTTCAAACATCTTCATTTATCCAAGTTAGAATTTTTCTTTCTTCTTGATTTATTAAGGAGAGAACCTCACCTTTTCGATAAGTTCTTCATTTTTTGTGAGTTCTTTGGACCATGACAGATCCCAAGAGGGAAGAATGAGTATGTGAAAGAACTTATAAATAGAGGGTGAGGCTTCTACTTGTCCTTGGAGGAAGCTAATAATTAGGTGGGTGAAAAGAATGAAATACTTTTGCAGGTGTCTTTTGTTGTGTAAAAACATGACCCCAAACTTAAGTGATTTAAAATAGCAAATAATGGGGACACCTGGGTAGCTCAGTTGGTTAGAAATCCAATTCTTGATTTTGGCTCAGGTCATGGTCTCAGGGTTCATGAGATCGAGCTCCATACAGGGTTTAGTGCTGACTTCACAGAGCCTGCTTAGGATTCTCTCTCTGCCCCTCCTCTGCTCGCATACACATTCTCTCTCAAAATAAATAAACAAAAAAATAGTGCATTAATTCAGTTTTGGGGGTCAGAAAACTGAACAAGTTTCAGTTGGGTAATTCTCTTCACTGTATCAACAGAAATTATACTTAGAGACATTCAGGTAGTGGGTGGGTTGGTTTAGGGAGCCTGGGATGATTCACCCACGTTCCTGTGCTGCCTTAATAGATGGCTGGAAAGGTGGGCTCAGCAGGAACTTTGAACTAGAGCATTTACATACACATGGTCAAACTTCTTACACGGAAGTCCAGGTGTATCTAGAAGCTCACAGAGAAGCTGCAAACTCTTTGTGTCTTGTTCTCAGAGATGAAAAAAAATGCATCCACCAGTTCTTTCAGTCAAACAAGTCATCCAGTTTTGAGGTAAGTTGAAATAGAGTCACTTTTCAGTGGGAGGAATAGCAAGGAATTTGCTGTCTTCCTTAATATACCACGAACACTTGGGGCACCTGGGTGGTTCAATCGGTTAAGCGTCCAACTTTGGCTCAGGTCATGATCTCATGGTTCATGGGTTCGAGCCCTGCATTGGGCTCTATGCTGACAGCCTGGAGCCTGCTTCAGATTCTGTGTCTCTCTCTCTCTCTCTGCCCCTCCCCTGCTCATGCTGGGAGTTCTGTGACAATGGGGACACTGATGTATTAGCCAAAGCCCTGCAGGTAGGAAAGCCAAAGTAAACCTTCTATGATGCCGCACTAAATGATGAAGATTGGAATGTTATGAGAACATCGAGGACAAACGAGGGTTAGTGAAGCTGTTGGGTATTAGGAAAGGGTCCTTAGTGGTAGCCTTGAAGGATAGATGAGATGCCTCAGTGAAGAATCGAGGGCAGGCATCAGTTTTGTGATACTTGCCTCTTCCTCTAGCAGCCAAGGTCCATTTGAGCAAAGGCTCTGTGTCCGTTCCCCCCATGCTGCATCCATAGAGCTTCACACCTGTCATTTGTTCACTAAGTGTTCATGAGAAAAGAAAAGCAGTTCGGAAGATGCACAGAAGTACAAATGTATAGGATATTCCAGGAAGGCAAGTAGATTAATGAGGCTGACAGTTTCTGTGCAGGGAGAGGGTTAATGAGGGCAGACGCTGCAGACAGAAGCTTAACACAATGCCTTACCATTTACAAAACAATAGAATCACATATTGATAATACTTTGAATTATAAGATAAGATGTTCATAATACAGTATTACATTTAAATGGGACACGATACAATTCCTATGGTTTAAATCAGGAGTAAAACACGTATCCAAATTGGGTAGTATTTTTCACTATGTTTTGTGATTTTTCACAGAAATGTGACCTGCTCTGGCCAGCCTTCCTGACCTCAGATGATGCCAGCTTCATCTTCCCAGTTGCAGAGCCCACAAATCTAGGGACTATCTTTGATTCATTTTATTTTCACTCCCCGTATCCATTCCTACTGGATATCCTACTTGCTCTGTCTCAGAATTTGTCAACAATGTGAACACTTTCCATTGTTTTCTCTGCAACTAGCCTGGACAGAGCCAGCA